GCAGTCTGAATGGGGGAATCACCCGCCCGGAAAGAAGCCATACGCGGAAGAAGGTTCTCTCCAAATGGCCCGAAGGAGTGGATGATGGGATCATTCTCTTCGTCATTATCAGAGAACTCTTCAGATCTACTCAGATCACTTAATTCGCTTGCCCGCGAAGTGTGGAGCAGAGCAGTAGCACGACGGGCACTCTGAGAAATAACCCCAGCGACGGTGTTGTGACGCTTCAATGGGGAGGGCTCATCCTCGAACACCACTACTGCGGCACGAGAACGAGAAGGTGTGAAAATCGGCGAGGATGGGGGAATGGCATTCTGAACAGCAGGAGAAGGGGAGACAGGCGATGCCAGACGCTGACGATCCAGGAGCGGACTTTCCTGCAGCTCTCGACGGGATTGGCGTCGCTGAGTTGGTGTTGCTTCGTCACTGGTCTGTTCTGAGTCTGTCGAAGGGCAGTCTCTTCGTTCACTGCGGGGCCATTGTACTAAAACACGAGCCTCATGGACATCTATCATGATATCTGCATCCTTGATGTCCGAGGTAAAGGTCTTGCCTTTGGCCAAGTCATATTTCCTCCCTTGGCAGTGAATCTTTATCCCATTCCATCCCATACAAACGATTTCAACCCTATCCCGATCGAATGGATTTGGAGCCGGCTTGAATGTAGCCTTAACATGAACACGAGAGATCATTCGACTAGCAGCGAGCTGATGATGGCATGAGACACTGGATCTGCCCATCAGAGTGGGCTCCCCATTCTCCGACAACATTATCGCAGGCACGGCAGACAACGGCGTGCGTTCGAGGGCAGCAGAGAAGGACCGTGGGAGGGAAGGTCGGGAGGCAGCGACGCCAGGAGGAGGCGAAGAGGACATGATGTGGGTCGACGAGGTCGGGACCGGCGTAGGATACGTCGAGACATCTGGTTCGCGTGCTACACGCTTTTGAGGCCGAGGAAGGGAGGGCGACGAGCTCGGCTCAAAGGCAGGCAGTAGGGCTGCAGGCCGTTTTACGCCCAGGATCGAGCCAACTCGGCTCTTCAACGGAGAGGACTCCATAGTAAAATTGTGGGACGAAGTCGAACGAGCACTCTTACTCACGAAACGAAAAACCTGAGTCGAGGTCGAAGACCCGCGTCTCCGCGTGTTATACAAACACAGAGAACAACCTAGAGAGTTTCGAAGAAGAGAAAAACGTCACGGCCTCCCCTAGAGAAAAAGATGTGGTGGGAGGAAAGAATTTGGTCAAGGAATAAGGAGGAGAAGCATTGAAGAAAAAGGTCGAAAGGGTGTGTGGTGGTGGAATGCCCTGGGGCGGAGGGTCTCGTCCGCCCTGCGCGGAAATGCACGCTTACAGTCCGAGACGCGTTCGATAGGCGCCAACCACGGCCCAGTACAGGTTCGCGATTTGAACTGCTTCCTTAAGGTATTGTACAAATGATTACTTGTAAATTAAGAGACAAAACCATTGAAAGACGCGAATCAGAGGTTTGTTTCCTCTTATTTCGTTCTCCCAACCCTGCCCACTGCGGCGCGTCCGCGTCTCAAAGCACGTGATCACACGCGAGACAGTAAACTGGGTTTGAGGATGTCAAGAACGGTATTCATGACTTTGAAATTGTCCTTGATGATCATTTGGCCCCTAGGATGTTTCTAGAAAAAAGAGTGCAACATATCTGCCCTTCTAAATTGTCTGTGTGTAGTATATATATATATTTTATTATTATATGTTTATATTAAAAAGGAGCTATTAGTGAAATTTGGACAGGTTCTCCAAACTCGTACATAGCCAACAAACACTAGGTTGTAGTGTACGAAGTACGAAGATACTAGGGTGTACAGAGTACACTTCAAACAATTCTTAGAAGACAATGGAAGCCACCTAGCCCCCCACTTACTGTTACGAAATTGATCACCGGCCATCTCGTCGCGTCTCCCAGCCATTTGCCCGACCACATGGATATCATCTTGGCTCGAGCTTTAGCCAAACCAAAACCCTTTTTCTGCAAGGGCATTTGAGCTAAATTCCAGCCTGACCAATTATGAGAAAAATCACAAAACGCCCTAGTTTTTGCACTGGGCTTTTTGTTGACAAGTGCTGGTGGGGCTTCGGCTAGTTAGATTTTTTTGGAATGTTTTTTGGTATAGCTCATCTCACCGGTCTTCTGGGAAACCAGCATTAGCAAAGAATCTTCTTGGATCATATACGTGTCGAAATGACTCCACATCAGCTGTGGAGTTCTGCCTCTCGCAAAACTCGATCCCCTTGCCTAGTTTATGGGTCTAACGCATGTGGCCCAATGCATGGTTATATAAAGCGGCACAGTTGAATAATACCAAAAAAACCGATGCAATTGAATTAAAGATAAAAGTTCTTTCATAGTCAAGTCCTGTGTAGTGCATTTTTGCTCTTGGATTGAATTTTCGGCACCCTTCCCCTTCTGGGCTGCAGGAATGGTGAATGATTACATACAATTTGGGGGGGGGGGGTTGTTTATTTGGGCCTGCCATATACAACATAGTTGGATTGGCTTTTTTGACCCAACGTATTCTCATCTTTGCCTTGCTAGTGACCGCAAACCCACAACTCGATAACCGGAAGCCAACTTTCAACATGCCGTTTCTTTGGACTCCATTGCCATTACACGTTCGACTCTGCTTCTTCAGGCTTTCATTCTTCAGAGTCTCCAAAATCAACCACTGAATGCTGATGTATAGGGGTTTCGCTCGGAGGATGCCCCATCGATCTCAAACGTGCAAATGTCCTTGCTGTAACTTCTCTTTTAGCTCGAGCTGTGACGCTTATTTGGGCAGTGGGCAGGGAGGGGGCAGAGTGTTCTGTTCCATTTTGACGGCAGTCACCGTTGACGGCGGTTTCAACTTGGCCCCCAGAAGGTTATTTAGCAATATGCAGTTCCTCTCTCCTTTGCCCGCACCGGTCACAGCGAAAAATATGTATTTTATTATTGGTGATTGCAGTTCAGCTATCGCCAGAACACGTCATGGCACGACACCAGCAATCATCTTCTTTACAAGCGTCATCACCGATGTTAACTGATCACCATATGTTGGCCGTCGGACTGAGCACCCTCCTCTGCAGTATAATCTATATGACATAGGTGGCCGATAGAATGAAGCAACACCCAGCAGGCAGATCTTTCACCCATAACCCGAGAGTCCATCGATCAAGGCTACTCATCAGAAAGGGAGTTTTGCGACAATATCACAGTCAATCGACTGCGAACTCCTACTTCCAATTGGTTGGGTACTCAAGCGGCACTTCACAGATACCTTTTGAGGTTCTCCACGATGAGCAATTGGCTCGAAAATTGTTCTTCTGCGGCGCTAGCTCCAATTTGTCGCAAGCAAATAAAGTTGTCTTGTTGGAAGCAATGCCACCACCGAGGATAAACAGTGCCTAGCTGACGAGGTGTCTCAGGTCTATGGCTTGCCAACTTGCGATATCCAGATAGGAAGAATACATTCTGAGACTATCTTGGAAAATCTCGATCAATGCATCGCGACTTGGGCATGCCGTATCACTCATCATCAAGCACACGCAATCCAATTAGATGGGCGCATACCCCCGGTGAGGGCTATGGTTTGAAACCTGAAAGGTAGGTGAGAATGGAAACAGACGAGTTCCTGACACTTAAGATCTTACGGTCACAAATCAAGAGAGAGAGAAGTTGATGCAGTTGGGCGCAGCGTGTGTCGTCGGTTGCTGCGTCTGTGTGGCACGGAGTAAGGCTCGTTTGCATGGCGGGCAACAATTGCATTCCACGCATGTGATCAGATAAGTTTCCAGCCAGGTATACTAATTCTCCAGAGAGCATCAAATAAGGAATTTTACGCCAGCGGCTATTGTGTATGGCTGTAAACCTACTAGGTATAGAACGCCCCGCGCCTCAGTTGTCACGATTAATTAGGGCTTCGCTTCTCTATGTAGAGGCACGTGACTAGCGAGAATAGCTGATTTTTGTGACACTTGGGCAAGATTCGTTCCAGCAGGATTTAATGTGCATCATTAATTTGTAGGTGGACATTTCATTTCCACCACAGACACAGAAGGAGTGACGCGACCATGCAGGACCGGGCGGGGTTGTGTATTTATCGTTACATCATGCACGCGACATGTCATATGCTCCAGTGCTTGCCGCCACACTAATAACCATCTGGTCCCTCACATTGTGGGGAACTGTAGGCAGCTCAAATAAAATACATCAAATAAAATGAAGTGCTGACGAGAAGCTTATGCAACGTGTGTCTGAACGAAGAATCCCAGCGTTGACGGCCGCTGGAGTAGGCAGCTAGCTCTTGCGCCTACTTGATCATGAGAGAGAAACAATGAAAGACAGCTGTGGATTATCATTCAAAGGACGAAGAAGGTAGTTTCAAGGCATATAGTGCATATCTGCTGGACTAGATCACAGAAAAGTGGCCAGCTGATGACCGACTATTACAGAACCGGCTGTGCTACGACTCCCTATTGAAACAACCTATACACTCAGGTCTTCCACCTCGAGCGAGACACAGAGAAAAGCTAGTGACCGAAAGGAATTTTTGGGCAGGGAAATCCAAGATTCAGCCACCAGAACAAAGATTAAAGCGAAGGGAACGGAGATAGATTTGAAATCAAGAACTGATTGTTACTTGAAAATAAAGAAGGTAAATCTAACCGTCAAATAAAAAAAAAAGATATCGCTCCCATCAATGTGCCTGACCAGGGGGTAAATGTGGTCATAAGAAAATAAAACTGAAAAAATGCAACGAGGATTGGATTGCGAGCCCAGTCACACAGAAAACAAAATAGAACTTAAGATACACAGAAAAGAAGAATGACCCTTCGATTAAGAAACCGGGAATATAGACAGATGCACACAGGGAAGTGAGATGAGAGCGTAAACTCTGATCGCCTTAGTGGAATTCAAGCGTGGGTAGCTCATCGAGTTTCGCGTGGCAGTGTAAGGGCTGCTGCCGACCAAAAAGCGGTTGCGATATTTAATCGTAGAAGACGTAGTAGGCCTTGCCAGAGTTGACACTGACCTGGTGAGAAATACCGTTAGCATGAAGTTTTGCAAATCAAGAGGTTCGGGGGATAGAAAACTTACTGTACATCCGCCATTTCCACTGATAAGACCTTTGGAGTCGTAGAACTTGCCACCCTCGTAACGGCACTCGTCGCTAAGGTTGTCTCCCTCGAGCTTAACGTTGAAGTCAAGAGCCTTAGTTGTGGTTGGGGTGTTAGGGAAGATTGACAGGAACTTTCCAGACGTGGTGTAACCGACACCAAGGTTGATGGGAGCCCAGTTGCCGATGGACTCGGTGCCGTCACCCCACTGGCAACCCTTCTCAGTGGTCACACCCTTGGGGTTGACGTAGTATTGGGCGGAGGTGACCTTACCCTCCCAGAGGAAGTAGTCATCACCATCGGGGCAAGTCAGGTCGTGGACAACACCAGGGGTGGCAGAGAGAGGAACGGTCTCAGACTCAGTACCGGGGTAATCAGTACGGCAAACGGCAACGTTATCAGACATCTTATTCTGCACGTGGACACCCCCAACACCAGGAATGCAAAGTTGCTTGTAGTTCTTGTTGGTGAGGTAGAGCTTGTTATCGGTCTTACATTGGAGGCCACCAACGGACTGGCCGGTGCTACCCTGGATGGTAGGCCACTGAGACTTTTGGTATCCCGGGGGGCAAGCGTAGGAGCAGTAAGCACCGTGGTGGCACTCATCGCCAGTAACGGCGGTCACAATATCGCTAATAATGTCATCGAGGACAGTGACGTACTGAATGCCCGAGAAACCACCAAGACCAAGGTAGTCAAGGGCAAGAGCACCGTACTCCGAAGGGAAGTCACCGCAGTCAATCTCTCCATCGGGGAAGTCGGCAGTGAGGCCGGTGGCACCGGAGTTGCTTGAGCTGGAAGAGCTCTTGGTAGCGGCGGCAGTTGTTGTGGTGGAGCTAGAGGCATGCTCAACTGTGCTCGTGGAGCTAGAGGCATGCTCAACTGTGCTTGTGGAGCTAGAGGTGTGCTCAACTGTGCTGGTAAAGCTAGAGGTGAGTCCAACTGTGCTCGACGAGCTGGCGGGGGTGATAACAGCCGAGGCCTCCTGGAGGATCGCAGGAGCAACGGTAGCAGTCGTTGTTGGGGCGGACGTGGGAGTCGATGTGGAAGCCGACGTGGCTGCGGCCGTGCTGGAGCTGCTAGATGGACAAGCAGCAGCAACAGCAGAGGAAAGCCATTCAAGCTCATGGTCTGCGAGACCCTTACAAGCTTCATCGCTGCTGATGGGCTGGGGACGGCCGGACTTAGACGGGTCCAATACGACAAAATCATACACAACTGGGCCGGGGACCGAAACGGTCTCGGTTTCAGCAGCGCGCTTGTGGGCGTGAGCGTGGCCATGACCGTGAGCGGCTGCGAGGCCAACCGTCGCGAGTGCGGCAACGGTATTTTGGAACTTCATCGTACTGGGCGTGAGAAACTGTTGATCTTAATGCGTTAGTTGCGTCACATCCATGCACACCTCGTCTCGTCCAATAAGTTCTCGTCGAATTGGATAGCTGGGGCGCGATTGAGTCCCGGTGTATTGTGTTGGTGCGTAACACAATATACTAAGCTGCGCCCGGACACATACCAATCCACACCACACAACATTGCGACTTGCCACTGCAACATGTAAAAAAGACAAATGGGAGATAGCACCTACATTTAAATGTTGTCGCGCGTTTGTTTTACACGATCGAGTAAAGGACAGCGGTTTTCAAATGAATGTGGAGAGGTCGAATCCCTCTGGTGCGGAAAACTTCGAAAAGGAGAGCTGTGGGTGGAAAGACCGGGGAAGAAGAGGTCAGAGAGAGTAGACAAAAAGGAGGGGGGGCGATTCAGTCTGTGCCCCAATAGCGTTAGCGTGACTGTCACGGGAAAAGGGGCAGGTACGGGATACGAAGCTGTGCTTCGAGGTACAAGCTGTCTTACCCTGCCTTGGTAGTGGACCCTAGACAGAAGATGCTACTTGCTTGGCATATCTTCCGTACAGTATAATCATCTCGTGAGTTCATTCCTATGTACTTTATGCACAAAGTCCATCTCTTTCTCTCTTTCCTCTCCAGTTGGGGTAGTTCTACAACAACGTGATGGGCGAGGTAGTTCCCTTTTTTCTTTTGTTTACCTTTAGTCCCTGCGGCTTGGCGTTGAAACGAGATTAGAAACTGCCAGGGGGAGCCAATCAGAAGCAGATATTTCACCTCTTTGGGCCCCAGAATTCAGGTACACCAATCAGTATCCACTTGGCCTACCGAAATTCCTTGCGTATCCATGGGTACCAGTACGGAGTAGCTTATTGTTCCATTTTAATATCGTAGTGCTTTGTTCAATTCTTGCTTGATACCAGTAATCTAATAGAGCACACTATTGAAGTTACTTCCCCCTAACAATGTTACAACTCTTGTAACCTCACGTTGTTAACTGACTGTTGTAGACAGTCCCTAACAATCCCGCCCCAGGGGTAATAACGGCAGGGTTTAAGTACAAGACCTTCACCCCCTGACAGCCTTAGGCTAATCCGATAAACTGACCAATCTATTTCCTCCCGCCCAGCTATTTCAAAACTTACAAGTGCGATGTGCGCAGCCAGCAAGGGGATTTCCCCTGACGGTGTTAGCGCTTGCTCCCTAGTCTATCTTGTATCCCACTTTCACTGGGCTAAAACGATAGCCCACCCGAACCAAATTCTAAAAAATGCTCCGTACCAGATCTGGCCCACTTCTGGCTTAGCAAAAAAAATTAAATGTCAGCCCATGATGCAAGTACTAGGTACGGGGTAGATAAGTGTCCCCAGAGAACCAGGAGGTAGCGTGTTTCGCTACCGGGTGTTGCAGCGCAAAACACACAGTAAATGTAATTGATTTTTCAACAATCGTGATTTTGATTTAGCTCCTTTTTGGCCGAAAGCCATAGATGATATTCTCTAGCACCATATCTCGGCTTCGAAAAGAGTAGAAGGCTTTGTTATTCTCATTTCAAAGATTACCAAATATTGCGTTGCTGAAAATTATAGGTATGTACATCGGAATCGTCAAGTTATAACCCTTTCTAACACACTCTAAAGATATTCAAAATCACCCAGAATGTAAGAGGCTATAAGAAGAAGTTCCTACAAACCATAGTGATTGAGATGTCAAGTGTCAAGTTGTAATTATCGCATTACATGTGGATTTGCATTGGACCAGTCGGTGACGAAGTACCTTGTGGAATACGGAGTACTCCGTACCTTCATTGTACATCATCATTTGTACTCCGTATTCCTCACGTAGATGTTGGGCTATAATCTCAGCCCGCAATGACGACGACTCCGCGCTATAAATTTCTTTCACACACTTCTCCATACTCTAGCCGAAAGTTTCTCCGCCCATCCACTTTGTGGACAACCAGCCAACCAGACCAGTGGAACAATGACAAGCGAGCTATAAGCCGACGGACCTGTCGATCTACAGCAGTCTTGATCCTACTGTTCAAGATAGCGCGGCCTATTCCGCGTTAAAGCACGCTCTAGCAGACCTTCAGAATTACACTAAACTTATGATTAATGCACGTAATCAATAACTGTGCGGCAAAACCTAACATCCAACAGTATTGCCCACGTGCTCCTCATTCTTCATGCAATAACCAAGTTCGGCCAAAGCGGGCTTCTGATCAAGGCACGCTTTTGTCTTGACGTGCAATTCTACTCACACCATAGTTGGTACAGGCACATCCAAGTAGGAATTCAAAGCCGACACCGAAGCATCAAACCTACCTTCTCGGGTACGATACTAAGCTCCACAGTCCCCGGACCGATTCTTTTGGATTTTTAGCAGACGCCTGCTTCAATCTATCAACCCAACTCCTTTTTTTCTACTAGATGCTTTGAAACGAAATTCGCGTATCGCTACAGTGCACTTATGATGTATATCATGGGAAGAAGCTCACCCGGCTTCCGGGGTTATATGCGACATGCGGGCAATGTTGTAACCATGTCGATATACATCATGCTTCGTCCTGCTCGCTTTCCGGCATCCTAAATATTAAAACCGGAGACTTTACACAGTTCGGTTTACCGGTGGCCACCATCCGTATCATATGAACTATGTTGTAATTCAATTTTCACAAGGTTTCCATTCTCGATTTCACCAAATGTGGACACCTGCAATGGATAGTTAAGGTCAATGTAAGTTGAACAAGAATTCTGCGCCGGTGTCCTAGACTTTAGTAAGAGGATCTGTTTGGCCTAGAATGATAACTGTTAGAGATCACTATTTGTAAGAACGCTCCGGTGTGTAATTATGTCCTTTTAGATGTGTGTATAGACCACACAGCGGACTTTTCGGCATAGTTAGTTGTGGCCAGGGATGGTCATACAATGTACAGCACAAGTACGAGCCTCGGTAATCTGGCATCCTACGATGAAACCCATGCCTAGTCTTGCAGTATATGACACATTTATAGTAGATGTGGGTCTACGCTGTGCGTGCGACATGCAATTTCTCACTCTCACTGTAATATTAAATCCAATATACTTCACTAGTTAAATTGGTCATTTTCTATGACAATGCTTCAAGACATCTACAAGTACACATTAAAACAATGGCCTGATCTACTCCGCACATGGAAATCCAACCTGTTGTCTATAAATAGTTACCCAACCCGTGATAGCCTTGGCGCCCTTTAGGTGACGATCACTTTTTTCGCGAGATTCCCTTTTCTGGGAGACGAGAGCGAGTATTGCAATTTTAGATAGTCCGAAACAGCCTAAGATTAGGGTTACTGTCGAGCTTATTGTAGCCGCATTATTTCCATTGACGCATTTGGTTACTTGAAACACGTTCATCAGCCACTCTAGAATTACTTCGTTCCCTTGCATACAGTAGAAGCTACTACCAAAAGGGAACCAACACAATCACCTTCACTGGAACTTCACTGCAAATATGCGAAAAAAAAACTGCGCTATTTGATTTCACATTTCGCTACTGCTCCCTCGCCTTTCGTCTCAGAATTCAATCCACCCCTTCACGGAGTTTTGGTGTCATCACAGTAAGTCGGAAGTGGAAATCACAACGTGAGTTGTCAGAGTACTTGGGCGTGGTAGATGTTGCAAACTTGCATGTCGTGGAAATATCATTCGAACGAAATTTATATTTGGGCACTGAGCCCGAGTCGGATGGATAGCATATTGAAGAACTAGAGCTCATTTTTGCTTGAGTAGATTATCTTGCCGGTGGTCACGGTAACTTTCCATCGTGATTTCGCTTTTCTTTCAAGCATTTAAGAGATACTCTTTCGACGAGCCGTTTTAGATATAGGATAGTAGTTTGCCCATAGATCTGATATTTGTGCACCCTAAATAAGATAACAAGGTCAACTTGTCCTCGGTTTGCATGCCGATCGATATTCGGACCTCGGTGATGCAGCATGGATAAAAGTTCATTTTTCTAGCATCATATTTTGCCCAACGTGTCTCTTTTTAACCATGTTTAAGATAGTTTTTCCGAGATTTGGTTTTCGAGCCCCTCAAACTCCGACAAAACCGTGGCGCGATATAGGCCTCAGGCACTAACTGGGGTCTGGGCTGCCAAGCATAGGTGAACTGCCACCGCCTTCCGAAATTTTTTTGAGTCCCGATATGATTGCAAAAAAAATTGGAGATATCCTTCGAGTGTACAACTTGCTAAAATGGGCACCTCTACTACTCAACTCACCTCGAAGGTGACTTCAGGCTCCCCCTACCAGCTTGACAAGCCACAGGTCAGTTCCAATGATTCCTGGGATCAAAATTCGCAAAGTGCTTATCTTAATTCAACAAGGCCCTCAAAGCTTCCACCGCGCTGCTGAAGCACATCAAGTCTACTCTGCAGGAACAGGAGAAGACTAACACCAAGAAGACTCTTATTGGCGACGATGACTCCGATGGCGAGGAAAGTGCGACCAAGAACGAAGCCATCTGGCTCGTTCTAACCACCAAACAGCATGTGGTGGACAAGAACCGCCTGAAGCCCGGCAAGATCAGCATCCCTCACTCTCTCAACACATCTCCCTCGCTTAGTATCTGTTTGATTACTGCCGACCCTCAGCGTGGCGTTAAGGATATCATTGCCGACCCATCTTTCCCCCAGGGACTTTCCTCTCGCATCGAGAAGGTCATTGGTTTCTCTAAACTTAAGGCCCGCTACAAGAGCTTCGAGAGCCGTCGCCAATTGTTCGCCGAGCACGATGTATTCCTTGCCGACGACCGTATCGCTATGCGCCTGGTGCAGACACTCGGAAAGATCTTCTACAAGTCTAGCAAGCGCCCAATTCCCATCCGTATTGCCGATATCGAAAAGGTGGATGGCAAGCGGGTCAAGAAGGACACCAAGAAGAACAACTCGTCCGCCAAGGAAGAAAAGAACGCCTCTTTCGCCTCTCCTCTTGTTGTCGCTAAGGAGATCGAGCGTACATTGAACTGTGCCGCCGTGCAGCTCGCACCATCCACCACCGCTGCCGTCCGTGTCGGTTCGTCCAAGTTCACAGCCGAGCAGCTGTCTGAAAATATTGCCGCGGTTGTCAACGGTTTGACCGACAGGTTCGTCGCAAAGGGCTGGAGAAATATCAAGGCTCTTCACATCAAGGGTGCCAACACCATGGCCCTGCCTATTTGGCTCGCTGATGAGTTGTGGGTAGAGGATGCCAATGTGCTGGAAGCTGCCCCTGAGACCGAAGCTATCAATGACTCCAAGAAGCGCAAGTCCACTGGAGATGGCAAGCTGCTCGAGGAGAAGAAGACCAAGAAGACTAAGCCCGCAGAAGATGAGGAGGATGCTGCATCCGTGGCCGCACGGAAAGAGAAGCTCCAGCAGCTCAAGGCCCAGGCTCTTGAGGACGGTAACACAACCAAGCCCATCGCCACGAAGACTGGTGGCAAGAAGAAGAGAAAGTCGACTTCATGAAGGTTATAGCTCTTAATGTTTTCTGCATGTAAAGGTATTTCTGGCGTACAAAATGTCAAGTGTCTATTATTCCGATTATTTGTATTGTGCCAGTAACTTAATCTAACAATAGACAATTAAACCATCACTTTATAATATCACAGGGCAATAGAGTAGATTGAGTCCCTTCCATCACCATCGCATGCGTACTTGGGAATATACATTTACCGCATTAACCGAGTCCGACCTCGGGAGCCAGTCTTGGCATCCCGACGATAGCCACCGAAAGTCACATCACCGTGAATCGCCGAGCTTCAACCTTGCTCTTCTCCCACGCCTGGAAGAACAGCGCCAAATAATTCCACCAAGTTGTCACCATGATTCCGATCGCTCGGCACTCTGTCCTGCGGGCTGCCCGCTCTCAGCTCCAACCCACCCGGAAGCTGAGCCAGCCCGCTTCTTCGGCGCTTGCCCGCCTCCTCTCGACCCTTGCCGTTCTCGAGCAGCGCAATGGCAAGCTGGAATCTTCATCTTTTTCGGCAATTGCAGCTGCACAGAAGCTCGGTGGCTCAGTAACGGGTTTCATCGCTGGCTCCGGTGTCAAGGGCACATCCGCTGCCGAGGCTGCTAAGATTAAGGGTATTGAGAAAGTGCTGGCCGTGGATAATGACGCATACGAAAAGGTATACACCCCAGTATCCTCCAAATCAGTATCTGTAGAAATGAGCTCAAACTGACAGTTGGATTTCTTGCACAACAGGGTCTCCCCGAAAACTATGCCCCTCTTCTCGTCGAGAACATCAAGAAGGGCGAATTCACCCACGTTGTTGCAGGTCACTCTGCCTTCGGAAAGAGTCTGCTGCCCCGCGTGGCTGCTCTCTTGGATGTGCAGCAAATTTCGGACATCACTGGCATCGAGAGCGAGGACAGTAGGTGAAAACCCGAGGAAGGAAATTGACATGTGATCCGGTCGCTGACCACAATCCAGCTTTTGTTCGCCCCATATACGCCGGCAACGCGATTCTGACCGTCCAGTCCACTGACAACGTCAAGGTGATCACAGTACGAGGCACCGCCTTCCAGGACGTTGAGGCTGAGGGTGGCTCTGCCGAGGTCGTCGATGGAGCGGACCCCAACGTTCCCGTGATGACTGAGTGGGTGTCCGAGGAATTGGCCAAGTCGGAGCGCCCAGAACTCGCTACAGCCACCCGCGTCGTGTCTGGAGGTCGTGGCTTGAAGTCAAAGGAGGATTTTGATCGCATCATGCTTCCCTTGGCAGACTCCCTCGGCGCTGCTATTGGTGCTTCACGAGCTGCTGTTGACAGTGGCTTCGCTGATAACAGCCTGCAGGTTGGCCAGACTGGTAAGAACGTTGCTCCTCAGCTTTACCTCTGTGCCGGTATCTCTGGTGCTATACAGCACTTGGCTGGTATGAAGGACAGCAAGGTCATTGCTGCTATCAACAAGGATCCCGAGGCCCCCATCTTCCAGATTGCTGATGTTGGTCTCGTCGGTGACCTGTTCGACAAGGTGCCCGAGCTGACCGAGAAGGTCAAGAACGCCTGATTGGGGGTTGCATGAATTTTTGCTCTTTTGTATCATGACCTATTGAGCCGGTTGATACCTTTTTTGTATGTTAAATGAACCGTACAGTATACCATTGCCTGGAGGACTGGAACCAAGATTAGTTTGGTCTAAATACCAAATCAAAAGTCCCTCATTTTTGATCCGATTTTGATTTGATTGAAACGTTATCTAAGACTAGAAACTTCAAGCTTTACTTTGAAAATTCTTCAGACTACAAATTTCACACTGCTTGAGTGCACTGGTAGACACAGCTTTGGAGAAGAGCTTTGTTAAAAAGGACTTTGCAGCCAAAACGGGACTAGCGCGCTGTTCACGCGTCGCGCGTCTATCAGATGGGAATTACATCGGAGATCACTCAATGACATGAGATGTCTGAACGCTTGAATGCTTCCTTCCTCGCCATCATTCTTGTCCTCGTTTGATCCTGCCCTTCACCTCCACTCCGAAGGTCCTGACAACGCAATCCCACCGTCCGAATCATTCTCCGACGACCTCGAGGCAATCCACCTGCACCGCTGCGAACAAACCCGCAATCGAGTTGTGATTCAACACCGAGCGTGGGATTTGTCTGATGTGTTTCGTAGCGAAGACGACATACGACCTGGTTCGCGATCCCAAGCCCTCATTGCCTGGAAATGGTGGCACTGACAACCACATGGTAGATACGCCAACAAAGAACGTAGCGACTCCGAGACCAATTATTCGCACTCCTACTCAGAACCTCTCTTTTATCCCATCCTCGCCACCTGTTTCTAAAATGCCGTTTTTGGCGTCTCCGGGCGCGCTTGCGCCCACATCTAACAATGCGACCAACGATTCGCAGAAGAGGAAAGTCACAAATGTCGAGGGAGGCTCGCAGTCGACAGAGCCGAAGCGCCAGCGCATGGTTGGAGGCTTCGTTGATGACGACGAAGAAGAAGAGGACCTCGCTGCTTTCAGGGACGAGCAGCTGAAAAATCAATATGACCTGCCTGAGCACTTCTTCCAGGAGCCTCCGGCGCAGCTCCCTAGCATACTGGTACCGCCGCCGGTATCTACGAAATTGAACGAGATAACGAATCCCACACCTAGCTCTTCCAGAACACTATTACAATTGACACCGCGGCCTGCGCCAAAGGCCCCAAGGAGGTTCCAGATCAAGACCTGTGCTGGCAAGACCCACGATGTCTCACAAAGGAAGGTCCAGGCTCCCATTTCCTACAAGCAAATTATCGCTAGTCGGTCTGAGACAGAACCTGGAAAGGCGACGAAGAGCTATTACGGTATCGACATTCACCAATTGCTGGACGATGCCGCCAAGGACAAAAAGCCCGCGAATACAATTCCTCCACCCCAAGTCCAGCACACCATTGAAGCAAACAACATGAGCTCAAAGCAGAAGAAGATGGATTCCGCAATGTGGACAGAGAAATACCGTGCTCGTAAATTCACCGATCTTATTGGAGATGAACGCACCCATCGATCAGTTTTACGCTGGCTTAAGGGGTGGGAGTCAATTGTATTCCCTGGTCTAGCCAAGTCTCGACCGAAGAAGCTTGCCCAGGAGAATGAAGAAGAGTACATCCACCGAAAAGTTCTCTTATTGAGCGGCCCTCCCGGACTTGGAAAAACGACGCTAGCGCATGTATGTGCCAGACAAGCTGGCTTCGAAGTGCTTGAAATCAATGCAAGCGATGACCGCAGCAGGGATGTGGTCAAAGGCCGCATTCGTGATGCGCTGGGAACTGAGAACGTCAAAGGTATGAACGTCGAGGTCGGTGATAAGAAGGTCCGCCGTGCCGGTAAACCCGTCTGTGTCGTGGTGGACGAAGTCGACGGTGTCACTGGTGGTTCTGGAAGTGGTGGTGAGGGTGGTTTTATGAAGGCCCTCATTGAGCTTGTTTTGCTTGACCAACGGAACGCGAAATTGTCTTCAGAGGGCAACAATGGCAAGAAGCGCAAGGGTGACAACTTTCGATTCATGCGGCCGTTGATTTTGGTTTGCAATGACCTCTATCACAGTAGTCTCCGGCCTCTCAGGGCATCATCCATTGCAGAGATGATCAGTGTCCGCCAAGCACCGTTGGAGAATATTGTTCAACGAGTTAAGGTTATATTCAGCCGCGAAGGCATCCCCTGCGACAGTGATGGGGCTCGAAGGCTCTGTGAAGCAGCCTGGGGTATGCCGAGCAGAAAACAGCGCAGTGGCAAGACCCAAGGGTCTGCCGAGGGCGATATTCGTAGCGTGCTCGTTGCCGCAGAGTTTGTGGCGCACAAGCTTCGAAACGAGTCGTTGCCATCCTCGCTCAGACTGACGAGGAACTGGCTGGAGAATCGGGTCCTCAATGCCTCGGCTGAGGGTAGCGCGTTCTTCAAAGAGTTAAGTCGTGGGGGTGTCCGTGAGATTGTGAACCGCGTGTTCACAGAGGGAGCTGGCTTCTCAGACGCTCCCGTTGGCATGAGTTTCCAAGATCGCTTCGATACCCCCAACAGCCGTATTCCTGTCGGCGTGGCGGATCTGCGCAAGCGACACGCAATCAACCGATTGCGGGAAATGATCGATTCTAGCGGTGATCATGACCGCTGTGTATCGGATTGTTTCGCTTCATATCCCATCCAGCAATACCAGGATGATAATTATTTCTCCAAACCCAACGCCGCCCACGACTGGCTTCATTTCCACGACTCAATCAGTTCGAAAGTTCATTCATCCCAAGAGTGGGAACTGATTCCATACCTCAGCCAGTCAGTTGTTGCATTCCATCATCTCTTTGCTACGGCCACTGGCAGAACCACCGATGATGACAAAAACGATGATGACGAAGAAGCCGAAGAGCCTCACCCTTTCTCCGGACCGAAAGCCGACTTTGCTGCCTTCGAAGCACAAAAGCAGAACCGCGCGGCCATGATTGCATTCAACGCCTCCTTTTCGGCACCTATGGCTCGTATCTTCCGGTCGAATGAAAGTATAATCACAGATCTAGTCCCTTACTTGATCCGCATGCTGTCGCCCGACATCAAGCCGGTTGTTATCCGTGGAAATGGAGAACAGAGAAGCACCGCCACCGTCCGGAAAGAGTCCGAACGTGCACTTGTCCAGTCTGCCGTGCGTGTTATGACCGGGATGGGTGTGACTTTCGAAAAAGTCCGCGTGGAACATGAAGGAAGCCACGGTGGATGGGCATACAGAATGGAACCGTGAGTGGGATTTTCCCTCTTCCCTGAAATGCAAACAGCTCACACATTCTCACACAGGCCAATCGATTCACTTGTGGTCTTCTCGAAGATCAAAGGTAGCTCCATCGAGGCTTCGGGTGGTACAGTGCCGGTGCGGTATGCCGTTCGCCAGGTATTAGACCAAGAGTATCGCAAGGCGACGATGCGAAAGCAGTCTGATTCCATGAGTGCAGCTACACTAGGCACCAAGGGTCCCAAGAATTCCGATGAGATGGCCGCAGCCAAAGCAATGAAGGAAGCGACTGTCAAACGTGACTTCTTTGGTAGGCTGGTTGAGCAGCCTACAGCGCAACCCAATGATCCAAACAATGCAGATGGCTGGGCTGAGGAGTCGTCCAAGGCTGGACGGAAAGTCTGGGTTACTTTCCACGAAGGCTTCTCGAATGCGGTCCGGAAGCCCATATCTATGGGAGAGTTGATGGCTGGGTTGTAGTATAATAATGAAGTTCCAAGTTGCTTCTTGTAAGCGTTTATCATGGTCTGCTGCAGTTTTGTTTGTTTTTTTAAGCCCTTGTTACATATCTTGATGATCATTTTCTTTCACGAGCTATTGCATACTAGATACTGCTACATAACTTGGTCATTATGTGGAATGGAGATGAGAACTTCACTTGAGAGAGAATTAATTTTAAGAGAGAAAGAACTTGGAGATGGGAGATATCCCTCTATTTCCACAGGACATTTTGGAACACCAACCAAAAGAAACTAAATAAAAAAACAGCCAAACAGCCCAGACTATCAGCGTTGAAAAACGCATTTGAACCGTAAATTCAAATCGCAAACCATCAAAACAAAGTATATGGTATCCAAATCATTCAATCGTTGCGGCGAAAGGGTGAACACAAGCACCCGGAGACGCAGCAGCACATAGCATCGAAACAATTGCAGTACCCCAAGCACAAAAAAAATGGACAAGGGAGAAGACGTGAGCATCGCTAGTGGATCGAGCGGGTATAGTGGTAATTCGCATCAAAGTAGATGCCTCCTCCATCCACTGCTTCGAAGCCACTTAGCGCAGGCTAAAGTAGCTAGCAAGAGCCTCGTTGTGTAGCTTCTTCTTCTCAATATCCGTGGTCGTATTCTGGAAACCGGAGTTCAAGGATGTTGAACCGAGTGAGTACCACTTGTGGTTCTTGGTAGAGGCGTTGGCTGAATTGAGAGTTGTCGCTGTGGAGACGGTGGAGTGTGTTGAGGCTGCGCTCGATGAGGTCTTGGAAGACGCGTTGGAGGAGTAGCCGAACATTTTGAGTAGTGTAAATAACGCTTTGTGCGTGTGACTGGGGAGATTTTGGAATAATGGAGGGTTCGTTGAGGTGTAGATGGAACCGGAAGGTGAATGAAGTATGACGGGAGTTGGTCTGGCGTTGATAGTTTGTGAACAAGGTGCGAGAGAAGGATGGCACTGTTTTAGATCTTATGCTGTGCAATGAAGTAGATTGGAATGTTCCTATCTACAGGGATCTCATCGGGTCTTTATATATAGAGATGTAAATCACCACATCATTGACTCCGTACTAGATTGTCACTCCGAGAAAGAAAATTTCAAATACCAAAGCCCCACCACGTCAGTCATAGTTATGCGCCAAGTTTAGAAGTTTTATACACTGTTAACCACGCGCGGAACAGACCAAAAAAAGACGTCAGTAGTGTCACAGCTGCCTTGCGTGTGGGGCCGCTAAAAAGATCGGAGTAAGGGTCGGAGTTCAAGTTTTATTGGACTACTAGAGGTTGGAGTGGAAAATCCTCCCCAAAATCCCGATCCTCAAGTTGCTCTTGAATTATCCAATCGAACCAGTTGACCGTGAAAAGTCAAACTCATACGGGAAAACGTGCTACTTGCTCCTTCGGGCACGTGTATCCATCCTCTAGACCTAAAACGATGACACCGAACAGTGCGGGCTCCTATCTCGGCCATTTATTCGCACGCCCTTTGATAATTTGTCAAGACTTCCCCGTTCACAAGGATCTTGCGAAAGGGCGCCATTAACTTTTAGTGCTGGTGTGGCTTTGCATTTTTACTACTATACACATGTTCGGGCTGAGACAACTGCAATCTCGGAAGGTCTGGATCTTGTCCAAAGGATTGTGAGATGAATTCTTTCTATGTAAAATGGTGATCTGGGCCGCCCAAGGGAAGGCTATAGGTCCAGGTATACTCCATGGATGGGGGTTTTGCCTTTCGTGTCGGTTAGCAACGGCTTGTGTGATGAGGATACGTACTCCATAGCAAACCCCTTTCTATGGAGTACGAAGGAATTCATGGATACTTCCTACATTTTGCGGATAAAATGGCTAGAACCCTAGACGTTGCCCATTTACAGAGTGGCTTAGGATGACTCAAAAGAGCGGGGTTGGTAGTTTCAAAGCTTACAGGATGAGGTCGTTGCGGATTTGAAACCAAAACACAAGGATTCAAGATGAGGTGACTCGCAAATGCTTCACTGGATCGCCATTTTAGTCTTGGGTCAGTACGGTGTAATCGAGCATGCCGTTCTGGTTTTTGGTAGTCCGATCTTAGTCCGAGCACGGAGATTTTTATTCCGATGTATAGTTCTCCGATTGTTGACAGCGATAGATTTGTCGTCCATAAGAAAAAGGGGAGCTACTATTTGAGATTCGATCGACTTCTCAGATCTCCTTGTGTTGAATTCTGCAGGGATATATCTACATGCATCGGAGTACTTTTTATGAGCAGGGACGTTAGTCCGAGAGAAACCGTTCGAGGCTTGTTAGCTTTTGTTTTTTTTTTTTTCTAACTCCGACCTTTTCCAGATGACTCCCGTGTTCTCTCCACAATCCACGTTATCTCTTTTGACATTCTGACCAACACGCCCTGTGGCCTTGGCGGTCTATATCCACAGATTTCCCACGATCATAAATGACATTGCAATTGGCTCGTCCCCCGGCAAGGGGATTAAGTCAGTGATGTGTCAGCCTCTCTTCGGAACTCTAGAAAGAGTCAACCTCCTATGATTGTGCTGTCATCCAGCATCTGATCTCAGATAACCGTGATTGGGACCTTGGGAAGATTCGAACCTTCTGAGTCGTGAAGCAGCCCAAGTTCCAACTAGGTTGATATTCGGTTTTTCATGTCAACTCCCCTATTGGATCTTCCCTATTGGGTTTCCCCGGAGTGTTTTGCAAGATGTACGGAGCAGCGTCACTCTCTTTCACGATCAGCTTTGACATGGTCGTTCAGTCTTCCAAGGTTGCCCTGGTGAAAGATCAGCAGGTTAGTAATCCTTTTCATGGCAGACACACCCGGCAGTTCGGCTTGGCAGCCCGGTCTTTGTCGGCGAAGGCGACAAGGAGGGATCCAAACCTGCTCTAGAAATTTCCGCAGGGTCCCCCACGGGCCATTTGTCAGCTTCAGGCTCCACCTGGGAAACTCCTTGCTTCCAAGGTTGGAATCTTCGATTATCCAGGATGAATAATCGACCGGAAGTGTGGGGGGATGAGGGGTTGGAAGCTTGATTTAAGAGAGCCTAGTTCCTGATCTAGTTCGTTATTTTCACTCGAACTTCCCACTCACTATCAATCCAACCCCCCCCACAAATTCACCTAACCAAAATCAACACAATGTCTCTCAAGCCCATCACCGTCTATGGACATGGCCCGGGTCCTAATCCCTGGAAGGTGATCATGGTCCTAGAAGAGCTGAACATTCCGTACACCCACAAGATTATCGACTTCCCAGATATGAAGAAAGAGCCATACGAGTCCATCAACCCCAATGGCCGCGTCCCCGCAATCCAGGACCCCAACACCGACATCACGCTCTGGGAATCCGGCGCAATCGTCGAGTACCTGGTTGACACGTACGACAAGCAAAACACCATCAGCTTTGCCACCGGCTCCAAGGAATACTACCTTGCCAAGCAATGGCTCCACTTCCAGATGTCTGGCCAAGGCCCATACTTCGGCCAGGCTGTCTGGTTCACCCACTACCACTCGGAGAAGGTACAAAGCGCAATCGACCGCTACGTCAATGAAATCCGCCGTGTTTCGGGCGTGCTCAACCGCGCCCTCGAGGGCAAGCAGTATCTTGTCGGTGACAAGTTCTCCTATGTTGATTCCGCTTTTGTTCCTTGGTACCTGCTTACTGGCCAATTTGGACTTGATTTGGAGAAGGAGTTCCCCAATGTCGCTGCTTGGTTGAAGCTGGTGCAGGAACGTCCGGCTATTGCCAAATCGGTTCAGGATCGGGCCGAGGCTTCCGCGCAGCACTGATCGAATTTCAGATGAGAATCTTTGCGCGTGGGTCTACCTTCCATGTTAAGTACAATGCTAGTGTGCACATGACTAGGGTTGTGTATCTTACCAACGAAAATCCCCAAGCTACAAAGCACCAGGTCACCCGTGAATAGTTCGTAGTGGTCGGAAGCTTCCGAATGATGCGACCAAAGAGTTCGAATCAGCACCCAAGGAGCCTGCCCCCAGCTGAGTAGCTGGCAAGTGTATCGGTTTTTTTTTAACTTGTGCCATATCTCGCGCGGTGTAATTTGTGGACAATCTCTCAGTATTGCTTCTCGGCCGGGTACACGAAATGACGGCTGTTTACTAGAAAGGGCATGCTGGTGTTTAGGCTGAAGGAGCACCCCGTCCCTGTTGGCATAGAACCCGTCTTGTAGAGTCTATGTTGTCTTCTTCTGGAAACGCTTCACAGAGTGCTCTGCTGCGGCATATGGTCCGATAGCAGCAAAAAGGACCCATTCCGGAGAGATCATCGCCTTCAATGTTCACTTCGCCCGGCGAGACAATACATGAAACTGACCGTCTTCAAAGTTCCGGAGATTCTGACAGACCACTGTCCAGGTACAGAGAACGTCTGTCAAGTGGGAAGACCCAATTTTGTCCCTCGTTCCCCGTAGGTTGGGTTTCACCGTCGCGGGTCGCGCGACAAGAGGGCGCTAAGAGACGTGAGAAAAACCACGCACCGATAGGATCTATCAGCGCTTGAACCCTTCAGCGGCTCCTAGAAGACTGCAAGGATGACTGGATGCGCGACATCCCCGCTCGAAGACTCCAAATTGTTGACCGAGAGCTCGTCACTGCCAAGCCAGACAATCAGTCGTGCTGGCCAACTATTGGGATCAATAACCTTCCATGCTATTGGCTTTGTTCGGAATGATTCCCTCGCTTTCTAAAAAAACTTGGATTTCATACCTTAAGAAGCCACTCTTCCAATCTCCATCACCTTTGGGGGACGAAATGGATCTTCTTGGCATCTGTTTCCTCGCTCTCGAAGCTGGCACCTCCATGACCTATGATGCATTTTATTGCAGACCTTTCATCCGGCGGATGTATTGGGGACTCAATCTCTTCTCAGCGATGGGCGCTACTATATTTATGTTTGACACGGGCGGTGGAGGCAACCAAATGAGGATTCTGCGAGAAAACATCTTTTTCTTGCTCGCCATCTCTGCTATACTGCCCTATCTTTGCGAGCATGTTGGCGTTTTTTTTTTTTACAAAATCAATATCGGCCTACTTGAACATTTTTATCCCCAATTTACACTTCCAGGTATTACGTTGTTTATCCATCCCTCATCAAGCACAGAATAACAAGAACTCTTTTTTTTTTGAAATTTTTGTTTTCTCTTTTTTCTCGTGTTAAAACAATTGCTAAGAAATTCGAAGCAATCGAGATAAATTTTGGGGGCCACTTCAGCGGTGGTCTCCGGTGGCCCTGGAATGCTTTGGTGCCCCGCAATTTCGGTCACGAATCAGACCCCCCCGGAACCCAGTTCTTATCTGCTGACAAGCCCTTGCATCAGTCTAGTTTTTGGTTGCAACATCGTCTGGCTTCATGGCAATCTCGACTCGCATCAAGTAGAAACCACCGGCACCTGGAACTATACGTTGCAATCAGATTTTCGTTGACCTTCATGAACATACACTCCGCAAACTGCTGTAGACGGTGACCCCCTCAAAGACTTTCCAATAATGGCGTCTCTAACCAGCATTGCTTTCGTCACCTTCGGGGTGATTTATGGGGCTAATGCGTGGGGTGCGTTGGGCCATGCAACTGTGGCCTATGTTGCACAACATTACCTTTCGTCTGAAGCCGCATCATGGTACGTCACCCAAGAACCTGAAGATAACGGCAGTCTTCAAGTCTAATGGAGCTCAAGGGCACAAGAAATCCTCAATGACACTTCTAGCGCATACTTGGCAAATATTGCGTCGTGGGCGGACGGTTATCGCCTCACAGATGACGGCAAATGGTCAGCTCCGTTGCACTACATTGATGCCATGGATGATCCCCCAACAAGCTGTAATGTGGACTACGAGCGCGACTGTGGAGACGAAGGCTGCTCGATCTCTGCAATTGCCAATTACACCCTGCGTGCAGGCAATCGCAAACTAAGCACTGCCCATACCGCCGAAGCACTCAGATTCCTTGTGCACATTATTGGTGATCTCACGCAGCCATTGCACGATGAGAACTATGAGGTTGGCGGAAATGGTATTCAGGTCACGTTCAATAACTACAGTGACAATCTTCACGCGGATTGGGATACATACATGCCCGCACAACTGATTGGTGGTGATTCGCTCGCCGATGCACAGGGATGGGCCGAGAGCCTGGTCGATGAAATCACTTCTGGCACCTATAAAAAACAAGCTCGGAACTGGATCCAAGGTGATACTATCAGTGATACTGTCACCACTGCCACTAGATGGGCGTCGGATGCCAATGCCTTGGTCTGTACTGTGGTAATGCCGGACGGAGCTGCTGCCTTACAGACCGGCGATCTCTACCCGACATACTACAACTCCGCTATCGGCACGATTGAGCTGCAGGTTGCCAAAGGCGGTTACCGACTAGCCAACTGGCTCAATCTGATCTATGAGCAAAGGATTGCTGCGAAACAGAGGCTGGGGAAATTCAACAAAGAGCTCCGGGATGCAGCTCCTGAGCCCGAGTTCGTCCGTGAGTCTCTTCGCGAGCCTCGTCAGATGCGGCGTGCAAACCTGGCTAGGGCTGCTATGGGAGGAAATTGCTGCATTTCAGGAAGGACGCCATCATAGCCATTGATCTGATCGAATTTGAAGCCAAAGTACATGTAATGGATCTCGCCGAGACTAGCCAGCGGTTATGGTCCAAAACTCATTTTGACATATATCAATTTTTATCCCTTTCTTCTAATAGACTTCCTGGCTGGTGTTTTGTGTACCGCCACTTCCTTTTCGTCTCTGCCACTATTTATGAAAAAAATAAAACCCCATCTTACAGCGAGGATTCGCCGGTGATCACCCACATAACTACTGACTCACCGGCGTGTCCCCCGCAAGGTCTCGCGCATCTTGTGTTTCAAGTCAGTTTTAGTCCCGATTAGGAAAGGTAAACTCCACCCTGGCGGCCTGCGAGAACACAACGTAGGGTATCGATTAACAGTTATGAGGAAGAAGATGAGGGCTATTGGTCTATATATGACATATTGACGGGACAAAGATATTATCCGCGTGTTGGTTGTTGAGCGCAGAAATTGCTGCACCAACTTTGTCGGCGCGGCAAGTTGTTGAATTCGTTTTGCCCTTGCAATTTCGATGCAAGCCATTCTTATTCTGCCCATACACGCATCATAATTTCTCAGAGTCGGCCCTGTTTTATTTCATAGGTCACCTATCCGCGCAGATCATATCAAGATCGCTGTTCCTAGATACTCGGACTTTTAAGATCTTCGGTGTAGAGCAATCAGTAGATGCGTCAGGTTGTCAGTTCATTCAAATATGTACACAAGAACAAGCAAAGAATGAGCTAGTGATTGGGAAACAAGTAAACATTGTCGACCTAATCACAGTGACTGTTGGTCTGTCCAAGGAACGTGATTCTTCACATCATCGATCAGTCGAGCAATTTCTTTAAACGAAACAGGCTTTGTGACGAACATGTCAACGCCTGCAGCATATGCCTTCATCACATGTTCATCCGAGCCCAGACCTGTCAAGGCAATGATCCTGGCTGGTGATACGGATTGTCGTTCCAACTCGAGGGCCCGAATCGCCTCTGTGGCTTCGAAGCCATCCATCACGGGCATTGACATGTCTAAGTGTGAAAGTCAGCCAAGCTATTAGGAACGGGTTGGTGCACGTAGATACAATGTGCAATATGCGAGCGACTTACCCATGAATATGAGGTGGTACCCCTCGGGCATTTTCTTGACTGCTTCAACGGCTTTTTGACCGTCTACAGCGGTATCAAAGATACTTGGATGACGCCGAGCGACTAGCTTCTGAAGTAGCGCCATGTTGATGGGGTTGTCTTCAACTAGAAGAATGCGAAGCCCTTCAGATCCGTCGATAGTTTGAACCGTCCTGTCAACCAAAAGGTCTTTGGTTTCTGGAAGTGGTTGGCTTTGTGGCTGCGTAAGATTCGTCCCGAGAGAGGTGGAGAGAGAGGAGAGTGTTTCGGTGTTCGTGTTCGGTTGGATTTGGGTCGCGAGTGGCAGTGTAGCAGTCGCCAGAGGTAGGACTGGGCTGGTTTGTTGATCACCAAATTCTGGGCAATCATTTTGGGGCTTTTCATCAAAGACTTGTGAAGATGATTTGACTGGTGTTCCTTGTAGACAATGTTGGATTGCCCGTGCTAGTTTATGGGGTCCACACGGAAGATGCAGCAATTCGACACGCTCGCATAGTAGTTCCAAGTTCTGGATGATAGCCTGCGATGGATGCGCATTCCGACATAGAACTAGAACTTTAGGTAATGGTGCTGAATGCATGCGCGGAATTTGGGTTTCATCCATGACAATGAGATCTACGTGGACGTTCGGGGTCCAAGGTTGAAGTTCTACACCATACCATTCTGTCAAGTAGTTTGTGATGGCGCGGGTGGAAGGAAGAACTTTCGATGAAGTGTCCTCAAAGGGAAGAAAGGATACTGCCTTTCCTTTGATCTCACGTTTCAGAGACTGAAGGTCATCGAACGTGGACTGAATAGAAGGCTCTTGAGTAATACTATAATCCTTTTCACGTTCACTTCTGGGGCATGTGAGCGGTATTGAAATCTCGGCAGTGGTTCCTATGCCCAGTTGGCTCTTGATTTTGATGTTGCCACCAAGGTATCGGAGGATATTTTGAACGATAGACATCCCGAGTCCAGTGCCCGGTGCTAAAGGGTCCTCTTGCGAAAAAGGAGTAAAGAGGTCGGAGCGGAGGTATTCGCTTGAAATGCCCCTTCCAGTGTCTGAGACCGTCAAAAGAAGCGCGTTGGAGTGGTCAATTTTCGAGTTCACGGGGCCCTTTTGAATCTCAAGACGGACAGAAACGGATCCCTCCTGGGTGTACTTGAGCGCGTTGTTGAATATGTTCATGACTATACGCCGCAAAGCCCCTCGGTCTAAGACAAAGAGCCAGTCACCAGGGGCCACGTCAATGGAGACATCGACGTGCTTGATAGGAGCAGAGTTTGAATCGTCAAAAAGTCCTCCTTTGTAGTGGGTTGCCCCAAAAGCAATACTTTCGATAACCTCTTCAATGACTGCCACAATGTTGGTATTCTTTAGAATGTGTAGAGACTCAGGCAATGCATATGATTTTGCCACACCCCGGTCCTCATATAAGCGAAGAGTGTGGTGTCGTCGCTTCTTTTGAAACGAGTTGATCTTCGTGAAATCCAAAATCTGCTCGAACGTATCCAGAAGTGTTTGACTGCAGGCACGAATGGTATCAAGGAGGGACTTGGGGAGCTCGGAACCGACTTGTTCAGCAAGGAATTCGCTCGCAGCTAGAATTCCGTGTAGCGGACTTCGAAGCTCATGTCTACCGAAAGATGCGATTAGTGTTTAATTTCGACTGACTTCAACGCAACATCCTTGGCAGGGCATCGAGAAGAAAGGTCCCTGGAAATAACCCACGAGATGTTGCTGATAAAATCTGCCTTCTTCTTGTCCGATTCTTGACTTTGGATACGACTATGCTCCACCATCAGTGAAGAACCAAATCCGAGAACACCACCTAGCTCGACGTGAGCACTGAAGATGCGAGTTTCAGCCGAGCTCCAGCAAAAGCAGCCACCAAACCACTGTGACTTGACTGAATCCCACAAAGGCGTAAATACGATACGAGTAGCATCAGGGAAGTATTTCCTCAAAGTTCGAAGATCGCTTTCCCGTAATACACCCTGGAGTTGTGGCTGGGACATGCTGGGACTCTGGGAATAGGGGTTTAGATCATCGCCTTCGCTTTCTGAGTTGCTTGCATCATCATCATCCGATGAAAAGACAGATCCATCTTCATGGAAATACCAGATGGCGCCTTTGCTAAACCTGCGTAACAGACGCTTTAGGAATCCCCGATCCATTTGAGTTATCGGCAAGGAATTCGGCTGATCTTGAGGACCGATCATATCATTGTGTTTCCTCGATAAGGCGCAGATTTTGGCCAGGGGCCGAGAGTCAGCCGGCGCATCTCTTGAGTCTTCGTCGAGATCTAACCCGGGAGTGGCATTGCTATCGAATATTACGACCCCGCCATCTTCTCCAAGGTCCAGGCTCTTTCGCATGATTTGTGCCGCGCGTTGAAATGTTAATCCGTTCTCGATGGTTGAATAATCTATTGAAGCATTGACCGGTTGAAAGGATGGATTCTGATCGCGGTGGCTAGTTAATGTAGCATCCGAAGCAACCATAGGGCTACCTTCTGCTTGTGCTTTATTTCTTTCAGCTTTCTTCAATCTTTGCGTATTACCGCTTTCGGGTGTTTCGGTCGGGATTGTGAGAGGACTGGGTGTGTGTAATTGATCTAGCCCCGATGAGCTTGAGGGTCTCGAAAGAGGTTCTTTGATGGGATCAATACCGTCCCCTCCTTGGACAAACGTATTTAGGCCAGTTAGCAGGTTTGCTAACCGCCCGCTCTCTAGTGATTGACGAGATGTCTCCAGATATTCCATGACTGCAGCCCCAATGACACTAAGTGTCTCTTTGTGAAGCTCGCTGAGGTGTAGATTTGGCCGCGGATCGATGACATAGAGGCTACCGATATTGATGCCACTAGTAGTTGTCAGAGGAGTACCGGCGTAGTATCGAAAGTGCGGGGCACCGGCGACGCAGGGTATGTTGCAAAAGGTTAGATGTTCTTTCAAATCTTCGACAATGAAGTAACGATGTCTTTCTTCCGCAGTCGGGTGCAGTGCAATAGTTGCCTAGTGTTATCCGGACTTGGTCAGTTCAACTAATTATTGCGATTCTTTACATGATCTGCACAAATTTTTTTACCTCACACAAAGTGCCTGCGAGAGGACCATTTGAACAACCCATCCACAAGCTATCGCCGTCATTGTCGCAAACGCTGTTGTCGGCCAAATGCAAAGACCGTGTTGCTTCTGCGACCACATACAGTGTTTCCCGACCGATCAAGCTAAAATTAAATCAGCTGCTGATCTCTTTTGGGGCCGAAAGGCTGATACCTGATGATTGCGCGTTGGACTCCCAACTTCAGCGCTGCGAGTTGAGCCAGAGAGGTCAGAACGAGGTTAGGGCTCGCCTTATATGGCAGTTGGCTGAATTTCGAAATATGGGGGAGGAGGGCTGGATTGTCGGGTTGGAAATAGTTGAATAGTTCTCGGGCGCGACGAGCGTTGTCATGGCTCTCCGGCAATAAATCCATGGCACACCCCCTTTCCGACCCCTACTAGTTCTACCTTCTTATCCTAGGGGTTTTGGGCAACTGGAAAGTCAAGAATATTATGGGGAAGGAGAGAAGACTAGAAGGTTGAAAATTCCCTTTCATTGGATTCCCTGTTCGATTTTGTTGCGTCATAAAATCTCCACAGGTGGACCCCAACTGTCGGATCTTCGATCAAATGCTCCGTACAACATAGATTCCGAAGAGAAGCTTTGAAGTGCTTCTTTTTACGCAATATCGGCAGACAAGTCCGGACACCAAACGCACCTAGGTGAGAACTGTCACCTACTCAACTGGGGGGGGGGGCTGACCACTCTACCATGGGGCAAAAGGGGAAAAATTCATCCCTCACGAATTGGAACTGTTAGAGATACTAGAGATCTACGATGAATGTAGATGTAACTGGAAATCTCTTGATGCGTTTTGAGAGAGA